ACGGGGGTCTGTCCAGACATTGCCCCAAGCCAAGTTTGGAAGAGCCACGCAAAAGAATTTTCGGACTCTTTCAAGAGCAGAGCACAGCCGAAAAGAACGGGCCGAGCGTGGTGGTTTAGGCCTGAGAAAGTGATTAAAGGTATCCTCCGGCGGTTCATTCTGTACGAGGTGTCGACTCGGACAGTGTCCCCGAAAAAAGTGTAGTTTGTGCGGGAAATCGAGTCGGCCCAGAAGACATTACCACACTGCTCAGTGTCGTTTTCGGTTGCATAGAAGAAATCGGGATTTTCGGCCTGCATTCTTTTGAGATAGTCCAGCAGGTATTGAAAACCGGGGCCGAGGCTTCTCGGTTTATTGCTGGTATTATTATTCATTTGGTGTCTCGGGGGTTGTTTTGGAATATAAAACTGAAAAAACGAGGGATGAATGCTGTTAATGGAATAATGAATATCCTTCAACAGGCTATTTGAAATTATGAAGTGCTTGAGCAGACTCTTATTCATGCAAGTTGTAGTAAGCCATATAGATAAACATATAAGAATTTGAAATGTGACAAGATATATATATATTTATATATATATTTATACTCCATTATCTTCTTATTTCGCGATATGAGCAAGTGAACATATCATTCAGTACAAACCCACAGAATGACTGCGATATCACTGGATTATATCTGATTAACAGTTATTATTAATACCACTAGTTCAGATTAGGATTCCCAGGAAAAAAAAATATACTGTTAGCAAGTTCTATATAGATCAAGCAAAAATAGTGTCGAGATGTTGCTCATTCCGAATTCTGTATTAGCACACCACTGCAACTTCAAGAGTTATTGTCCAGATTATTTTTTGAAATTTATCTTTGTATTCATTCCCATCCAAACACCACAGAATGCCATGAAATCCTTATCACCATTAGTCCCTTCACAAATCCTACTTAAAATCACCTGCGGCGACATATATTCAGAATGCTATAGTGATGGCAAAAACTTGCGCACCATAGTAATATACACATGAAGGCTATTGTAACACACAGGAAACAAGTAAACTATTTCCTAATTCCGCAACACAAAAACAAAGATTTAGTATGTATTTCTGAAAGAGGCAACACTAATTGGGGAGACAAAACCCAAATATAATGTCTACGAACAACTAATATCATTTCTACTTCCCAACAAAACGCTTCGGTGGACATCCC